TACAATCATTGTTTAAAACACACCAAACAGCTTACTCAACTAGCTACGCTATCCTCACCAAAAGAATGTCTCTCGTATGCTGCTCCAAAAAATGACTATGAGAATGTGGTATGCCAAAGCTGGAGTCCCACTTAACTTCCAGAAGAACTGTGAATGACAACCTGATGCTAATATCACCAGTTTTAATTCCATCACAGGCACCATGCTGTCCCCACTAAAGGCCTCATCTCAATCCACACAACAGTCACATAAAGAGATATGGTATGTCCACATTTGGTTACAGACTAAGAGACTGAGTCATATGGTTGTTAATAGGCACGGCCAGAATTTAAACACAAGCATTTGATCACAGTCAGTGCGCTCAGCCACTAAGGATACCAATCTGGGTCTCAGTTTAACAAACGAATAAAATAGAACAACAACAACAAAACAATGGGGGCTGGGGAGATGGCTCAGTGGTTAAGAGCACTGGCTTTTTTTTTTTTAAAAAGACGACTGGGGTTCAGTTTCCAAAACTCATGGGACAACTGACAACTCTCTGTAACTCTGGTTCTAGGGGACCCAACATCCTATTCTGGCTTCTAAAGGCACCAGGCACACACAATAATGTACATGTATATATGCGTGCAAGCAAAACACAAATACACACAAAATAATCTTTCAATTTATTTATTCTTACGTTATGTGAATTGGTGTTTTGCTAGTGTGTATGTCTGTGTGAGGGTGTTAGATCCTGGAGTTACAGACAGTAGCTGCCATGTAGGTGCTGGGAAATGAACTCCAGTCCTTTGGAAGAACAGTCAGTGCTCTTAACTGCTGAGCCATCTCTGCAGCCACCAAATTAAATAATCTTAAAAAAAGAGTTGCAGGCCAGGCAATGGTGGCAGAGACAGGAGGATCTCTTTGAGTTGGAGGCCAGCCTGGTCTATAGAACAAGTTCTAGGACAGGCTCCAAAAGCTACACAGAGAAACCTTGTCTCAAAAAACCAACCAACCAACCAACCAAACAAACAAACAAATAGCAGAGCTGCAGTATTGGCAAAACTGAAAAGAGAGAGGAAAAAACTACACACAGTCAATTTTCAAAGAGTCATCCTGGAGCTAGCATGCATTCTCCAGACCTGTCTCTTTGATTGTTTGAGTCAGTCTCACAATGTAGCCTCACTGGCCTCAAACTGGAGAGGGTAGAAATCAGCCTGTCTCTCAAGTACAGGAATTAAAGTAGTATAGTAAAAGATCCCTCTGCCCACCCCCCCCCAAGACACACCTTTTTTTTTTTTTTTTTCTTCCAAGACAGGGTTTCTCTGGCTGTCCTGGAACTCATTCTATAGACCAGGATGGCCTCAAACTCACAGAAATCCACCTGCCTCTGCCTCCTCTGCTGGGATTAAAGGTGTGCACCACCACACCTGCTCCAGACCCTAAGGACTTTGAGGACCATCCTGAGCAGGAGCACAGAGCAACCCCACAAGGCAACTTTATAGCATGCTCAGGCACATTCACCTAGACACTTCATAACTCAAGACCATAATTTGGGAATCTTACGCTTCCTGTTTTATCTTGTCTTACCGAAGAATGAAGAAAATGTCTGTGATAAAAGGGACATTGGAATATCAACCATCAAAACTCTCATTCAGCTTTATATAAACTAAATTTTCCAGAGTTTTGGGTTTTCTTATTTCCTAAAGAAAATATGTAAGTAAAAATGCAAAAAATAACAAGAACTCTGGAAATACCACTGTAGGAGGGATTAATTATGATGACCATTAGACTTTTTTTTTTTTGAGACAGGCAGGGTTAACATGCATTCTCCAGACACTCTTGTCTTTTTGATATTGTTTGAGACAGGGTCTCACGATTTAACTCTGACTGGCCTGTAACTCACTATATAGACCAGGCTGGCCTTAAACTCATAAAGGTCCGCTTGCCTCTGCTGAGTGCTAAGATCAAAGATTGCACCACCATGTCCTGGCATCCGTCTGATTTTTAATCCCCAATCACAGTCTACAATGGCCACACAAGATCAGTACCCATCCTTAACAAATCTGACTAAACTATCATGTTCATAACAAGTATGTAGTTCAACTGGTAAAATGGTTGCCCAGCATGCACAAAGCCCTGGGTTTGCACCGAAGTACTTCAGGAACCAGCCATTGTGGCACAGCCTGTAATTCCAGCACTAGAAAACCAGGAGGGTTAAAAGTTCAAAGACATGCTTGGCTACACAGTGAGTCATGTCAACGCATTGAGATCCTGCCTAAAAATAAATAAATAAATAAATAAATAAAGAAAGAAAGAAAGAAAGAAAGGAGTTGGGTAGAGAAATGGTTCAGCAGTTAAGAGAACTTGCTTTTTTTTTTTTTTTTTTAAAGGTAGTTTCTCTGTGTAGAGCTGGCTGTCCTAGAACTCACTCTGTAGACCAGGCTGGCCTTGAACTCAGAGATTAGCCTGCCTCTGCTTCCAAAGCGCTGGGCTTAAAGGCCTGTGTCACCATTGCCCACTGTAAATAAATATTTTTGAAAAGGAATTATTGGGGCTTGAGAGATGGCTCGGTGGTTAAGAGCACTGACTGCTCTTCTGGAGGACCCAGGTTCAATTCCCAGTACCCACTTGGCAGCTCACACCTGTCTGTAACTCTAAGATCTGACACAGACATGCAAGCAGACAATGCTCATAGAATAAAAGCAAATAAGTTAAAAAATAAAAAGGACTATTTGTAGTCTTTACTTTCAAGAAATGATGATGCTTTTAAAAAGCAACACCAAGCCAAGTGTTGGTGGCACCTTTAATCTAAGCACTCGGGAGGCAGTGGCAGGCGGATCTCTGTGAGTTCGAGGCCAGCCTGGTCTCCAGAGTGAGTGCCAGGATAGGCTCCAAAGCTACACAGAGAAACCCTGTCTCGAAAAACAAAACAACAACAACCAAAAAGCAACACCAATGCTCATAAATAAAAATAAGTTAGAAAATAAAAAGCATCATCACTGTGTTAAATTCCACACAAATTATGGCTTCTATGCTGAATCCCAAAGCCTGGGTTTAGAAGCCGAACATCTAGAAACCCTCTTTGTGAGCTCATAATTAGTCCTCCTTTCTAAACTGTTAATAGTTCGATTTGTATTTATGTTTTATGTGTGGGTATCCTGACCAAATGCCTGTGCCACAAAAGCACTAAGTATCGGGCATTAGATCCCTTGGAACTAGAGTTACATATGGCTGTCAGTATCAGGGGTGCTGGAAATCACAGCCAGGTCCTCTGCAAGAGCAGCCAAGAGCTCTTAACCTCTGAGCAGTCTCTCCAGCCACTCATAACCTAAATTTCAAGAGGAAACTGGAAATTAAACTACTGGAACACTGTCTCTGTCTCTGTCTCTCTCAGTTTTTCGAGACAGGGTTTCTCTGTATTGTTTTGGAGGCTGTCCTTGAACTCGCTCTGTAGACCAGGCTGGCCTCAACTCACAGAGATTCTGCCTGCCTCTGCCTCCCGAGTGTTGGGATTAAAGGCATGTGACACCAATGCCCAGCCCCTGAATATCTCTTTCTATTAACCCCCAAGACTTATATCTGTATTTTAAAACTGTTGATAAACTCTGCTTAAAAACATCAAACTAATTACCAACCAATCCTCGTTATTTCTTCCAAATAAATAGTACTAAATACTGTTATGAAAGATAGCAAAGTAATGCAGCAACCTTGGATTTTTGTATATTCCCATTTAGTATTGCTACATAAACAGTGTGCTTGAGGTTTTTTTCTTTTCTTTTTTAATTATATGTATGTATGTCAGTATATGCATGTTAGTGTATACCATGCCTTGAAGGCCAGAGGTATCACACACCCCTTGGAGCTGGAGTTACAGGTAATTGAGAGCCAATTGAACTGGATGCTGGGAATTGAACTCTGGTCCTCCTGCAAGAACAGTGTGAGTAAGCCGGGCGCTGGTGGCGCACGCCTTTAATCCCAGCACTTGGGAGGCAGAGGCAGGCGGATCTCTGTGAGTTCGAGGCCAGCCTGGTCTCCAGAGAGAGAGAGTGCCAGGATAGGCTCCAAAGCTACACAGAGAACCCCTTTCTCGAAAAAAAAAAAAAAAAAAGAACAGTGTGAGTGAGCTCTTAATCTCCGAGTGGTCTCTCTAGTCTCTTTGAGTGTTTTCATAAATCTAGTTAAAAGCCTAATTATGCAAATTAAAAGAAAATACTGAGACCAGCCACTCTTGCAAGCCCCACGGAGACAAGAGCATATCTAAGTTTTTTGTTGTTGATGATGTTTTGTTAAATTTGAGACAAGAATCTCACGATGTAGACCTGGGTGACTTGGAACTCACAGAGATATGCCTGCTGTGCCTTCCTAGTGTTAAACACCTGTACTGGAATCATCATATTTACCTGTGGGGTTGCCTGTACATCATCTGATCCCAAGGGCCAATGCCACCATGGATCACTTACATAGTCAAAGCTAGGGTGGCACTTACGTCAAGGTCAAGGGTAACAGGTCCCTGGGTCAACTTACTGCACTTTGTGTTTTCAGAGTCTGTGCCCTGTAGCCCAGGTGGCCTCGAAATCGGCTTCCCGAGTGCTGGGATGACAGGCGTGTGCCAGGACTCCACGATCCGAGTCCACTTTGCCCGAGAGGCCGCAGGGCTGACAGGCGAGCGGGCCTCGTCCCTGGACTTTAGAGTAGGTGCCCACACCCCGGGTTCGCCGCACAGGCCGGGCCTTCCTCCCCCAGGTCCCCGGGGCCTAGTTCCGCCCGACCCGCCGTACCCGGGTTGGTGCTGGCTGCCGACCGGTTGATGGTGCTCCGTCCTTTGTACTTGGGCTTCACCATCCTGACGACAGAACCGACACTGTTCTGCTACACGCGAGGTAAAACACTTCAGAACTTCCCAGCCGGGAAAGCGATCTACGCGAAACACGTTGGACCCCGAACACGGGTGACGTCACTTCCGCTCGCGCCCCACGCGGCCCAGAGCGACTTCCTGAGAACGCACGGCGCTTTCCATTAGCTCCGCCTCCGCCCGGCTCTCTCCTCCTCCCCTCCTCCTCGCTTTCTCCTGGCCTAGCAACCGCCAGGCGTCTCTTCCATAGCAACGCCCAGGGCACCCGGCGGCCCTGGGCTCCTTGTGAGTCCCGCCTGAAAGAGAGAAGCCTCTTCTCAGGTCAGTGCATGAGCTGATCGGAATTTGCCGTCTGAACCCTTCCAAAAGCTGCCCAGCAGCAACAGCAGCAGCAGGCAAATATCAGAACAGGCCATCTCCTTCCTACAAATTTTAGGCTGGAGTAAGCACCAGGCTCCGGGTTCAAGCCTCAGCTCAATCAATAGACAAACAAAAAACACTTCTAACCCTCTAATGACTTATTATCACGAAGAGAGAGACAGATTCAAACTCCTTTCCATCCAGACAAAACTTGTGATCTGGCTCCGTTTCCTCTGACCTCATTTGTCCCTCCTTCTGACATTTATACCGGATATTCCGTCTGAATCACTCTTTCCCCGAATCTGGATAGCAAGTTCCTTTTGGTCTGTTCCCTGCTCAAATATCATCTGTCCATAGGATTGCAAACCCTAACAAGTAAGTCAGTATAGTGGCACACACCTGTAATACCAGCACTCCAGAGACAAGGGAAAATTGCCATGAGTTCTGGGCCGGTCCAGATTATAGAGCAAAACCTTGTCTCAAAAAACAAAACAAACAAACAAAAAGAAAAGAAAACTATCAAGAAAAAATGCCGGCCACACTGAAGTTTGAATTTCAGATTAAAAGAAATAAACATACTTTCTAGTTTATATCCCAAGCATTGATTGATCAGGATAACTTAAAGAATCTAAGGAGGCTAAGGCAGTGGGATTGTCACAAATTCAAAGCCAGCCTGAGTTACATAGAGAGACCCTTACCTCAAAAAAGAAATTTTCATTGTTTACTTGTTCTTTTCAAATTGAACTACATGTCCTTGGTTTATCTAACAATTTATCTTATTGGTAGAAGTTTTTCCTGATTTGTTGATTTAAATCAACCACTTCCTTGCTGTTATTGCATTCTGTCATACTTCATAGCGCATGCCGATGGTTGAAATGGTCTTATTCACAAGAGTACTGGCTGTTTACACAAATCTAGGCCATAAGCTTCAGGAAAGTGGAAGCCTTGCACATTCATTCACCTCTGTGTCCTCAGACCCTAAAACAAAGCTGAGTGTGGTGACATGAGACCATAACCTCAGCCTTCAAGAAGCTGAGCCAGTGGTGGTGGCAGCACACTCAGGTAGGATTTGCTGAAGGAGGCGGAGGCAGGAGGATTGCCATGAGTTCAAGGCTAATCTAGTCTGGACTATATATGGAGGTACAAACCAGGTTATAGAACAAGACATTGTCTTTTTTGTTTCTTTGTTTTTCAAGACAGGGATTCTGTGTGTAGCCTTGGCTGTCCTTGAACTCACTCTGTAGACCAGGCTGGCATCAAACTTAGAGATCTGCCTGCCTCTGCCTCCCAAGGTCTGGGAAAAAAGGCATGCACCACCACTGCCCAGCTCCCTTTTCCCTTAAGCTTTACTTTTCTTGCCTCAAGGGCAAATGTCAGAAACCTCACTTTTGCTAGGAAGACTCTGCCCCATATGTGCCTAAGGAAACTAAGAACCAACCAAAGAAAACTGAACATTCAACGAGGGGATGAAGATGGTCCTCTTCTGCTCTACTCTGTCCCTTTGATCCCCAAATGAGGGTACAAGAGCCTCCTCCCAGAGAGAAGATTAGATTAATGTGTTTCTGATGCCTCAACTTGGTGCAAACCAGAATAAACACGAATGGCAAAAATGAGCCCATGAGCTCATGCAGGCTTTGATCAGAGACATAATTTCATTATGAAATTTTGAATCAGGCTGTTGTGAAGTCTTGCCAGAGAGTTTTCTTTTCCCAGATGATATGGTGTGTTGTTTCTCCCCTACTCTCCTACCCTGTTTATGTTGATTGTACAAATTTCCCATCTACTTTTACAGTCTGACCTATCAACCCTTCAAATAGCATTTGCTGAGCCTGACAACCAGCCTTGGTTCTACCAGCAGATGAAGAGCCTGATGATGGAGGTGAGTTAAGCTCAAGTTACGGGTGCGTTTTGTTTATCCTACTTCCCACAGTTGTAATACAAGTGACTGTTTCTTCACTCCTTCCCCGCCCGCACCAATGTATGGCAAGTAGAGGAGGCAAGACACCTTCGGGAGTACAGTTTCTCAGCTTTACAGCAGACAGACTAATTTAACTACCCTGAAAACTTGCAGGGTGATTCCATGAACACACTGCAGATGCAGTGCAGATGCAATGCTCTCTTTCTTTCTCCAGACCCAGGGTTCATGCCTCATGCTCAGCAGTCCTGCTGCTAATAGCCTCGGGTCTGTGTGGCTAGGAAGAGTCCTCCAGAGACTGGCTAGAAACACCACTTTTCTGAAAAAAACCTGTGCTGTATATTAAACTGGTGTTTTCACAGGAAGCCAAGAATCCTAACCTCCTTTTCATTTTGTCGTGGGTGTCAGATGGGTAAACAGCAGTTGCTTCTAAAGAAGAATTTTTCAATGTGGTCTGAGGACCACCAGCATCAGAATCCCTTGGGGGAGCAGGTTTAAAATGCAGCCTCCTGAACCTGTCCCCAGAGCTTCCCTGTTCCTCAGTATTGTAGAGAGGGGTTCAAATTCGAAATCATCTACCTTTTTTTTTTTTTTTTTTTTTTTTTTTTTTCCGAGACAGGGTTTCTCTGTGCATCAGCCCTGCCTGTCCTGGAACTCAATTTGTAGACCAGGTTGACCTTGAACTCACTGAGATCTGCCTGCCTCTGCCTCCCAAATGCTGGGGCTAGAGGTGTGAGCCACAACCAGCAAAAATCTACCTTTTATTTTTCCCTCCAGCACTAGGATCAAATTAGGTCATCTGCATGTTAGGAAACTGCTCTGCCACTGAGCTAGGTGCTTGTGTCTTAGTGACCCTAGTGTTTGCTTTGATGGCACTGGGAACTGAACCTGGGACCTCCTCACCCATGCCAGGTAAACAGTCTACTACTCAGCTATATTCCCAGCTTCCCTAGTGATTCTTGTATATATAGAAATTTTGGTCTTTTTGCTGTTATTGTTTTGCTGATACTGGATCTCATAAAGCCCAGGCTGGCCTCAAACCTGGCATGTAGCAGAGGATGACCTAGAACTTCTTCTGGTTCTCCTGCCTCCACCTCTCAAGTTCTGTGATTAAGGATGCACTTTGCAGTGCCGGGGATCAAATACAGGACTTAGTGTGTGCTGGCCAAGCACTCTAGCAACAGTTATATCCCCAGCTCCACATGGAAGTTTCAGCTCTGAAAAGCAAACTCTTCCCTAAAAGTCACCCTGGGGCTCTCTGATGATCTAACCAGACACCAGCCCATGAAGATCTGGGTTCCTTTTCAGCAATCTTGCATCCTCTCATTTTCTGCAGCAGAACCAAGGTGAGGACGGCTGGAATGGGCTCTATTGCTCTCTGAAAACCTGTCTTGACTCTGCCCTAATGTCTGTATTTAAGCTGCAGTCCAGGATCCTTATCCTTTGGCAGGGCTCCATTGTAAGGCCATTAGCTCTTAGTGCCCTCAAGCTTCTCAGTGAACTGCCACAGAGACTCTTCATTGTCCTCTTTAGGTCCCCCACTGGCAGCAGATTCCCTGAGAAGAGTTGGGTGCCACGGGCCTATAATCCCATAAGTCAGAAGGCTGAAGAAGGAAGATTGCTGTGAATTCATGACCAGCCTGAGCTACACAGGAAGACCGGATCTTCAAGCAAACAAACCCATGAAAAGAGAACTAGAGTCATAGTTGAGGTAGTAGAGTGTTCGTGCAGCATTTGTAAAGCCCTAGGTTCCATCCTCAGCACTATATAGAACCTGGCATGGTGTTATATGCCTGTGATCTACACTTAGGAGGTGGAGAGAGGAGAGTCGGGGGTGGGGAGTTTCAAGGTCATTCTTAGCTACATGTCCAATTTGAGGCCAGCCTGGTAAGACTTTGCTTAAAAAAGAGAGAGACAGAGAAAGAGAGAAACAGAGACAGAGACAGACAGACAGACAGAGGCACACACACACACACACACACACACAGAGACAGAGAGACAGACACACACACACACAGAGACAGACAGACAGACAGACACACACACACACACACACACAGAGAGAGAGAGAGAGAGAGAGAGAGAGAGAGAGAGAGAACCCGACTCTAGAGTGACTACTACTCAATGCAAAGCAGTCCAAGTGGCAAAGCAGGGGGTGCTGAACATCAAAGGATTCTTCATGTGGCTTCGGGATTTGTTTGCTTTGTTTCATCTGTAGAAAACAAACAACCAAACAAAACTCCACTATGTACAATCTGAACAGCTAAACAGAAAATATAAGGCCAGGGTGTGTTAAGTTAGGGGTTCAGTGGTCAACTCACCCTCCATTTCTTTCTGTAAAAAAAAAAAAAAAAAGATTTTATAGCTGGACGTGATGGTGCACGCCTTTAATCCCAGCACTTGAGATGAAGAGGCAGGCAGATCTCTGTGAGTTCGAGGCCAGCCTGAATGTTTAGGGCATATACATATCCAGTGTATGCAGTGCTCACAAAGAACACAGGGGCATCAGATCCCCTGGAACTGCAAATTACAGATGGTTGGGAGCTATTTGATGTGGCTGCTGCTGGCAACCAAACCCCAGTCCTCAGCCAGAACACCAAGTGCTCTTATTGACCAACTGCTGGCCCATCTCTCCAGCCCCATGCCTCCACTTTCAATTTAAAATGCCCAGGAACATTTTAGCAAGCTGGCAGGCTGTGAAAAGTTATGGAGAGACTACTCTCTTGGCATTGCTCAAGTTTCAGGGTTAAGGAGGTCTTCAGAAAGGTCCCTAGATGAAGCTTTGGAAAAACAAACAGAAGCCTTTTGCTCCTTCCTACTGTTGGGTCCCTGAAGTCCCCAGCTGCTTAAGAACAACCCGAGAAGCGCTTAACCTGAGATGCCTTTTACAGCCTTTCATTTTCAGCCTGGTTTAGATAATTCAAAGTCCCTGGTTGCATCCTGAGAAATGTACTCAGAGCACACACACTGATGTGGGAATTGAAAGTCCAATTCCAAATTGTAGATAGCTGTTAAGCTCCAAGGAGGCTGGAGGCCCATATTAAGTCATCTCTCCAGGACCAGTGTGTTTCTTATTATTTTTGATATCTATCTGTCCAGTGATCCTTTTGATTTTTAAGCTGTTAGACTAAATCTTTGTGTAATTCTTCCCTGCCCCTGCCTACATCTCCCCTTTTCCTGTGGAAAATGCATTTAAAAATGTCCACCAGGTCCCTTGGCTTGTTCCCAGAAGAATACTGTCACCCTGAAGAGTCAGAGAAGTCAACTCTTAAAATGTTGTGTCCCAGGAAACTCTATCAGGTGGTCAGTTTTATCCATGGGGCAGCATCTCCCCAAGAAGACACTGACATTTCTGTGACCTCCTGAATGCCTTTTGCTCCTATGCCTGGTCCAGTGTAGATGGAGAGCAGAACATTAGTTATAAAGTAGAGATTTGTGTCAATGTGTAGATAAAAACATTAAGGTGAATAACTTCTCAAGATGTGGATGAAAAAGTCGTTCAACCCTTATTTTTAGTGTTTTCATTTATTTCCATGTATATGCCTGAGGTGTGAGGATGGGGTGGGATGTTTGCACCTGTAGGGATGGGTGCTTGTGCATATATGTGTATATGCATTGTGGAGAGCTCTGGGTTGACATTAGGAGAAACCTGGACAAAGGGCTATGTGGGGTGCCTATTGACAAACCAGAATGGATGTGTGTGGGGGGTTCTCTTAGCTTTGCTCATTACCTGTGGCTCTTCCCAGCACTTCCCACCCACCCCTACCCTAAACCACTCCCTTCCAGGGGCTGGGCTTCTGTTTCCCTTCTCCCAGCCCTATAGCTACACTGGTCTCTGGCCTCTTGGCCTGAGCCACCTCTCTTGGTCTCTCTTCCCCTCTCTCCTCTCATGGTCTGGTGTAGTCTGCTGGCCATATTCAGCCTGGACTCTTCCCTCTGCCTGCTTTCCCCATTACATCTACAATAAAAATCTTCTGCATACTCTAAGAGTAGTCTTGTCTTCCTCCTTTTATTTCATTTTCCTTTTTCTTTTCTTTATTTCTTTTTTTTGGCAGTGGGGGGGGGTTAAGACAGGGTTTCTCTATAGCTTTGGAGTCTGTCCTGGAATTCGATCTTTAGACCAGGCTGGACTTGAACTCACAAAGATCCACCTAACTCTGCCTACCTAGTGCTGGGATTAAAGGTGTGTGCCACTACCGCCCAGCTTATTTCATTTTTTCATTTATTATCTACCTTACATATTGAGGTAGGATCTCTCGATTGAACTGAGAACTCACTCCAATCAGGCAGCTAGCCAGCTTGTTCAAGAGGCCTCAGCTCCACCTCCTGGAATTACACACAGGCTACCATCTTGCATAGCTTTCAGGTGGGTGCTGGGCACTTAAACTCTGACGCTGGCCATTTTAATGAAAACTCTCTATCTCCTGAGTCATTTCCCCAGCCCTTGTGTAATTTTGTTTGTTTGTTTTCCAAGGCAGGGTTTCTCTGTAGCCCTGGTTGTCCAGGAACTCGATCTGTAGACCAGGCTGGCCTCAAATTTACAGAGATATGACTGCCTCTGCCTCCTGAGTGCTGGGATAAAATGCATGCACCACCACATCTGACCCTGGTGTAACTTATATAAACAGCCCTCATGAGAAAATGATCACTGCTAGGCATTAGTGCTACTCGCCTTTAATCCCAGTACTAGGAGGCAGAGGCAGGTGGATCTCTGTGAGTTCAAGGCCAGCCTGATCTACAGAGCGAGTGCCAGGATAGGCTCCAAAGCTACACAGAGAAACCCTGTCTTGAAAACCAAACTAAAACAAAAACATGAACCAAGCCTTATATTTCCCAGCACAGGGATAGGCAGACTTACAACCCACTAGCCAAATCCCACCCACCAACTATTTTTATATGGCCCTAAAGCTAAGAATGGATTTTAGTTTCTTAAATGGCCGAAAAAGTCAAAATAAAAATAACGTTTTATGACGCATGAAAGTGATATGAAATTCAAATTTCAGGGTTCATAAATAAAGTTTTACTGGAACACAGCCACAGCATTTGTTTACATATGGCCTTTGGCTGCTTTGGCACTACAAGGGAGAGATGAATTGCTGCAGCAGACAACATATGGTCCACAGAGCCTAAAAATATTTTTACTCCTTGGCCCTTTACAAGATCACTTGCCCACATCCCTATCCAAGGACACTGGTGTGCACTCCCCGAGTTGACTAGGCGTGTAACACACAGATGATGTGGTTGCATTGTTCTTGAGAGTGTTTCCCATTCCAATATGGAATACCCCTCCCCCCCCCCACACACACACCACAGGCGCTGGAAATTCAAACCAGGCACCCTCTGTACATCTGAGTGTAGCTGATGCTCTTATGGGCCAGCAGAGGGCTTTGCAGAGGTTTAGATTTCATGGGGAGGGGTAGAGAAGCTGTTTGAGGCCAAATAGTGTCTGCCAGGTGTGTGCCCCGCCCTTCAAGGAGACCCAGGATTTCCCCCTCTGATCTCAGAGAAGAAGGGACCTTTAAGAAGGGACTCAACTCAAAAAGTCCTTTTAACAGGATTCTCTGAGACTGACTTTGGTGACCTGGAGTCAAAGCATGAGGGGAGAGACGGTTTTGTCTAACATGGCCCTGGCACATTGGGATCTTCAGGCCAAGGCAGCCACTGGGATACATCCTGCCAGCTACAGCTTTGGTGAGCCCATCTTGAGCAGTCATGAGCAATGGATGTAGACAGGCTTCGGTGGAAAACGGGAGGCTGGTAGAAGGCCCTGTGAATTTTGGGCATTGTTTGTGAGCACAAGTAACCCAACCCCCAGGATCCCTCTTCCTTTAAGGGTGTGAGACTCTGAACAAGTAGGGTACTAACACGTGCAGATGGAGAAACAGTCATAGCAAGTGTGTCATCTCCGTCTAGGCCAAGCTAATTGGGCTCCAATCCTAACCTCTCCGTTCATTAGCTGTGTTTGGTTCTACTCTTTCACCCTCTGTGTTTCAGTTTCCTAATCTATAAAACAGGCATAAAGAAGTGGTCTACCTCACAAGGATGAGCTGAGGGTTAAGTGAAGCATTGCAAAGCCAAGGTTGAGCAGGGATAAGCACCATTTAAATGTTAGCTGTACTTACATTGCTTATCCTCAGGAGTCCTGGGCAGCAGTGAATACCTCAAGTACTCCTTTCCTTCTTTCTTCCTTTCTCTCTCTTTGTTTCTTTCTTTCTTTTTTCTTTTTCTTTTTTTCGAGACAGGGTTTCTCTGTGTAGCTTTGGAGCCTATCCTGGCACTCGCTCTGGAGACCAGGCTGGCCTAGAACTCACAGAGCTCCACCTGCCTCTGCCTCCCAAGTGCTGGGATTAAAGGCATTCGCCACCAACGCCCAGCTTCTTTCCTTCTTTCTTTCTTTCTTTCTTTCTTTCTTTCTTTCTCTTCTCTCTTTCTTTTTCATGACTAACAATTTTGTTCTCTAACAGGTAATTTTTTTCTACTGCTTCAGCATTTTTCTCTTAGACAACATGTTTTAGAACTGGTTTGCTTAGCCCTTTCTCTTGTGTCTTCCCCGTTCAAAATGCTTGCACCTCTTAAAGGCCAGCAACCTCTTGGATCCCCAGTTAGGCTCAACACACTCACCATAAGCACCACCTTCTTTGTGATTTTGGCTTTCTTTTAGAAACTTGGCTTTGTTTGCCCATGATTGTAAGGATAACTCTTTCCGCCAGCCACCTGAGTTCCATCCGCCACTTTAAGGGCCCCAAAATAACACACAGAGTCTTATATTAATTACAATGCTAGCTCTTCCTTAAGTATCAACCATAACCATTAATCTATATATTTTATAAAGACTTCTCTTATACGAGGATGCTGGATATGTGCGTCCTTTCTTCCCGGGATCACATCGCCAACTCCTGTCTTTACTCCATTTCCCAGAATCCTCC